TCCTCCTCCTCTTCCTCCTCCTCCTCTTCCTCCTCTTCCTCTTCCTCCCCCTTTGCATCTTCCTCTTCCTCCTCTTCCTCCTTCACTTCCTCCTCTTCCTCCTCTTCTTCCTCCTCCCCCTTTGCATCCTCCTCCTCTTCCTCTTCCTCCTCTTCCTCTTTCACCTCTGCACCTTCCTCCTCTTCCTCCTTCACTTCTTCCTCCTCCTCTTCCTCCTTCAGTTCCTCCTCTTCCTCCTCCTCTTTTACTTCTTCCTCCTCCTCCTCCTCTTCCTCCTCCTCCTCCTCAGCGGCGCCTTCGTCCTCATCGGCCGGCGAGGGAGTCTCCATGGCCTGCGCACCAGTATGGACCAGTATAAACCAGTATGCACTGGTGTACACCGGTATAGACCGGTATAGACCAGTATGGACCAGTATGGACCAGTATGGACCAGTATGGACCAGTATAAACCAGTATGCACTGGTGTACACCAGTATAGACCGGTATAGAGTAGTTTAGACCAGTATGGACCAGTATAGACCAGTATGGACCAGTATAAACCAGTATGCACTGGTGTACACCGGTATAGACCAGTATGGACCAGTATGGACCAGTATGGACCAGTATAAACCAGTATGCACTGGTGTACACCGGTATAGACCAGTATAGACCAGTATGGACCAGTATGGACCAGTATGCACTGGTTTATAGTGGTATAGACTGGTATAGACTGGTATAGACCAGTATAAACCAGTACAGACCAGTATAGTTCAGTATAGACCAGTACACACCAGTATAGATTAGTACAGACCAGTATAGACCAGTACACACCAGTATAGACCAGTATAGACCAGTACAGACCAATATAAACCAGTATGCACTGGTGTACACCGGTATAGACTGGTATAGACCAGTATGGACCAGTATAGACCAGTATAGACCAGTATGCACTGGTGTACAGCAGTACAGACCAGTATGGACCGGTATAAACCAGTTTGCACCGGTGTACACTGGGATAGACCGGTATAGATCGGTATAGACCAGTATGGACCAGTATGGACCAGTACAGATCAATATAAACCAGTGTAAACCAGTATAAACCAGTACAGACCAGTATAGTTCAGTATAGACCAGCACACACCAGTATGGACCAGTATAGACCAGTATAAACCAGTACAGACCAGTATGCACTGGTGTACACCGGTATAGACTGGTATAGACCAGTATGGACCAGTATAGACCAGTATAAACCAGTACGCACCAGCACAGACCAGTATAGACCAGTACACACCAGTACACACCAGTACACACCAGTATACAGTGTAAACCTGCATGCACCAGTGTAAACCAGTATAGACCAGTGTAACCAGTATAAACCAGTATACACCAGTGTAAAACAGTATAAACCAGTACAGACCAGTATAGACCGGTATGAACCAGTATAGACCAGAACACACCAGTATAAACCAGTATACACCAGTGTAAACCAGTATAAACCAGTATAGACCAGTATGAACCAGTATAACCCAGTACAGCCCAGTATAACCCAGTACAGACCAGTATAACCCAGTACAGACCAGTCTAACCCCAGTCTATCCCAGTCCATCCCAGTTCAATCCCAGTTCAATTCCAGTCCATCCCAGTATAACCCCAGTCCATCCCAATCCATCCCAGTTCAATCCCAGTCCATCCCAGTCCATCCCAGTCCATCCCAATCCATCCCAGTTCAATCCCAGTCCATCCCAGT